AAGCTTCGAGGCAGGTAAATTTTCCTCGAGGAATTTTAGTAATAGAGGTACTCGAATCATTCGAGGAATCGTTTCAGCCCTAGTCAGTAGAAACAAACCTCGGTGACAACAGTGACCTGCATTTTCACATTGTTGCACGTAGGGATCTAAAAATACATATATGAAGATTAAATCTGTATACCCCTGGCTATTTTTGTTTAAACAGTTCAAAATGGACTATTTAGATTAGATTTCTTCTTTTAATTGCATCATTTGTTCATTTAATAACCTGACATAATTTTCCAATCCAACTACAGGCAACACAACAATTTAGCATATTTTCCCAAGGCCATCCAATCTCTTTTAGTATTTTTACAATAATGGTTTACAATGTTTACTGAAAAAAAAAAAAGCAACAATCTTTCCCAATTTATTTTTACGGGTATGATAAATAACACTTGTATCCTTGGTTTGTAGCAGTCTGAGCCCTCGGGTCTGACATTTGGGCTGGGCGAGCATCAACTGCGGCTCAGTAATTCCCCTCGATCCACTGGCTGTCTCTTTGCGAATCCCCTGGTTATAATCTGTCAGCTAACGTACAACATCCAAAGTGACACTTTTGTTTGGAGATGCAGCTTTTAGCCCGACACAATCAGCTTGTCCTTGAAATGGATACAGAGGTGGGCTACAGCTCCTCATTCTCACCTAAACCTTTGCAAACAAGCCTTTATCATGTTGTTATGAGCAATAAGGGTGCAATTATTAAAGGAAATAAAAACACTCAGCATAAGACTTGGCAGGCATCATCTATTTGTTTCCAGTTGCTTAGCAAAACTGGCGAGTGCATAACGTTGCACACTGAGAATGCCTTGCTCTCTAGCAGCCAGTCTGAACCCAGGAGCAGATGGTGTCATTACATGACCACAGAATGTCTTGGTATTAGCTCAAGCTGTGGGAGGTTTATTATCAATCATACATATTTATTTTCATTTTGCCTTCAGAGGACATGTCATTACGAACAGCTCCACAGAAGAATCTGCATAGAAATGAGACCAAATTTTGGTTGTTGGATTATGTTCTTTGAAGGGAAAGTTTATAGAAAGAAACAAATAAATCTGAAACAATGGTCATATCAGGACTATTCAGTGGCTACAGTCTGAAGAGCTTCTTGCATGAGTGATGTCTCGCTTTCTAAGGGTCTTCCCACACATCCAAACAGAAACTCACTTAGTCTTAGTCTTAATTTCACCGACGTGCCTTTTCTGATTGGAACGCTTTGAAGTGGCCACGCCAATTCTGACTTAAGTGTAACATAATCTGTAGTGGGAGCTTAAGATCAGGGTAACAGCAAGGATGCATTTCAACTTTAAAGTTATAAAATAATAATAACAATAATAATAATAATAATAATAATAATAATAATAATAATAATAATAAAGATTTACTTTTTTGCCTATTTTTTGAATAATTGTTTTTATCTAGCTTAAATAAAAAAAAAATTACAATCTATTTTTAAACTCTTTTTCTTCTACGTGAAGAAAATGCCTTGGTTGAACAAAAGTCATTTTAATTCCAAATCTGCTTGTGGCATGGCTTGATCATGATTTAATCTGCTCAAAATACATAGAATGCATAGCTCCTTTGATATAATAATGGAAGGAATTTTAGATTTCACTTCCTTACCTGTGGATCTTCCATCATGTCTCACATTGGATTTCCCCCCGAAGTCTGCTTCTGTCTCCGTCTGATTAAATTCACAAATTAACAAAAACAGAGCCCGTAGTTTATCCTTTACAGAAACAAAATTGCAACAGCGGTTTGTTATTAAATATCACTGTGCATATTTTTAAGATTGGTGTGACATCTCAAAAACATCGCCAGAGGTGATAGAGTTGGCAAGGGAACAAAACAAACAGCTGCCAGTGTTTTATTGTGCCCGAGGCTGCTGGCCAGGCCTGCCCTAATGGACAAGAATCACTGCCGAGTGCATGCATGGATTGATGGCAAAGTGATGAAATGCCAGCTCCATAGACCGTAAGCACCTTAGGATGTATTCTTTGTGCAAAACAAAAATAAAACCTGTTTTATTTTTATTAATTTTATTTTATTTTTTTGCTATACTACTTTATTTGTATCTGAGAGGAGTTTTATCTGCGGCATTCAGTTGAAAGTAATCCATGGACATCCGTGGCAAATTTTGGATTTTTTTTTTTTTTTTTTTTGGCTGATTTGCTGTTAGAGGAAGGTTTGTTATGAAAATGAAGCAGACAGTGTTTCTGGCATGCACTGACGCATGGACCACTTCCAAAACGCAGGTGCAACTAAAGTTTTAGCAGTAACTTGAAGGAACAAGTCACAGAGGAATTATCAACAAAGAGTTGAAAACTGTAGTTTAGGCATTTAAATCCTTTATTTTGTCTTATTTTTTAATAGCAATTAGCAAACACATATTTGACAAACAATCCTCGATAAATGACATCCATTCTATTTGTGTTGTCTTTGTATCAAGCTCTGTTATTTCCCTTACTGAGCAGCTTTTTTGTTTCTTTACTTGCTTTCTTCCTCAGACTTTATACAATAAGGAGCATTGTTGTATTGTTGTGGCACACAGTTATTTCCAATAAGTGAGAACAACCTTGAAAAATAGTCTGCGTGGCAACATGACACATTCAAGTCCAAACAAAAGAGACATTCGATTAAATATTAATTAAGCTTACAAAATAATTGGAACAAGTCAACAAAAGACTGAAGGTGTCTTACGAAACAATGAACACCTACCCAAGAATTTTCTCTTTGGATGAAGATGAAAATGTGTGAAGGGGATCTTCCATCTTGAATGTGTCGTCTTTGTGCCCTGTATGAAAGCACACACACAAAAAGACAATTGTACAAAAACTCTTAGGTCAAAACTAAATGCATAAGATCCAAGAGGAAGTGCAGGAAGGAGCTCTGGATGTATTGAGCATAGAGTAAAACAGCGCTGCCCTTCCGTTACCGTGGCAGCTGGTTGAAAGAGGACTATAACACCCATCTCTGTTATTAAAGTAACATTTTTTATGTATATGAATCAAAACAGATGACATTAACAAAGTTTTAATAACTAACACATTGTTTCAGGAGCAGGAATGACAAAGCATTTCAATTTAGTAGAATTAATACTGAGATTCTACAGAATATTTAATAAATATTTTAGAGATAATCATAAAATAATTTTAATTTCACATATTTGATTTTAGTGCTAATTTATATTCAGAAGAGTTTATGTTACATCTTGTTGACATTGATTGTGTTTCTGAGCCTAGTTTTTGAAAACGGACTCCACTAAGAGTTTATTTTATGATCAGTATCAGACCAATGAATTACTGTATGAGTGACTCACTGGTGCTAGATATTATTTTTCAGTTATATAACTATTTTTCTTTACAGTAAGTTATGAGCTGATAATGAAAAGAATTGTTTAAATCATTGGCTGTCAAAGTGGGTATAAAATATCACAAAGTCACGTATGCATTGATGCACAGAAGCAACCAAAAAGTTTTTTTTTTTTGTATTTATCTATACCTTTTTATTATTTTTTTTTTCTCTAACATTTTTCTCAACTAGTGTTTTCTACTAAATTAAAGTGGAAGCATATCTGGATCACACCTTAAACCTGGAGCTGAACATTCTGGGTGCACTTGTTTGTTTATTTGTATCTTTAATAATTTGATGCTGCATGTAAAAATCTGTCAGTTTTGCTAAGCAGTTTTAAATTTAGAACATTAATATATTTTGCTTAAATTCTGCACTGCTATTATTCTAAAGTGCAGAGTCTAAACAAGCTGTTAATGGATGTCACAGATAGAGCAGTCAAACCAAACTGCACCACTACAAGTGAAATTTACTCACAAAATAAAACAAACTGACGCTGCATCCTTTGCTCTGATGGCTTTGAGCATAAATCCTGTTGTGTGTTATCAGCACATTTGTGCGACTTCGGCGTTGGGTCTTACATACATTTTCAAAAAGGAGTACTCATTTAAATCAAGGTTTGTGTAGCAGCTGATGAATTATGAATAGGTCAGCGAGCATGTGGCCTTGGGGATTACATTTTACAGTACTTGCAGAATTACCTGACAATATTTAGAGAGAAAAAATGCACACACAAATGCAGGAAACAGAGATGTAATACCTGGTCCGAACAGAACAAAAAGAGGCAGGGATTGTCTTAATAAAAGGATTGCAGGAGGAGTTCATCAGATTCTCTTTAAGATTATATAATACTTTTGTGAACTGCTGTGTTATTACATGGAAATAGTAATGCTTCCCCCCACCCCCCCAAGTAGTTATCAGTTTGTATGAATAAATAGGAAACTTCAAAAAGTCCTGCTTTTGTTGTGCTTTGCTTCTTTGTCTTAGTAGATTTTAACATGTTTTTTTATCTTTGTATTTCCAAAGGCACAGAGACAGCTATGAAAAATGTGATCGCAAATGTTTCTACTCACCTGCAGCGTTTCTCTGTGCTTTGATGACAACACACTATGGTGTTTTTCAGTATCTATAAGAAAGAGCAGACCATTGGTATAAAGTATGCATAAACGTATATAGCATAATATTTAGACTAATAACCTGCATGCAGTGTAAAATGTCTACAAAGTACAGATACATCCACATAATATGGTTGTGGGAAAAAAAGTAAACCAATTCAAGGTTAACAAAAAAAGACATTTAATGAGAAATCTACTTATTTCTCAGGAGTGATGAGAAAGTTAGCCGAAAATTATTTTAGACCTTTTTTAAATTTAATTTAATCTTTCTTTTATTTCAGTTTAGCTGAATCTCTTACGTGTGTGGTTAGAGGTATCGAGGGACATTAATCTTTGGGTTAAAACGAGCAGGTTTACTTTTTTTTTTTTTTTAAGTGAAAGTTAGCAGTTGATGGTTAAATTAGGATTAGCATTAAGGTTACCTGTTTAGTGTTTAGTCTTCCTTTTAGTCCCATCATCTACAGTCTTTAATCAGAGTCAGGCTTCGGGTGTGCTAATCACAAAGGCGTTTACAACACGCAGAAATCGCATGGAAGAAATGCACAAACAGAAGGAGTTTAGCAGAGACACTGAGATGTTGCAGGTAGCGACTGAGTTCAGTAGGTTGGGTTTGTTCCCTTAAGCAAACAAGCAGAGTATCAGTATATAGATCCCTTAATTAGCCGGACATATTTAAGGCAATGTTATGATATATATGAGAGGAGTTCTTACCTCTATAAAACTCCATAAGAAAGTCAGTGTGAATCAATATGTTTATTCACTTCAGAGACTGGATTGCAAGAAAACAGGTATTAGTTTTAAGTAGAGATCAAATATTCATATTGGGCAAGTTGAAATTGAAGTTCTTTATTAAACATTTTAGCTGGTGTCTGACAGAAATCTACAAAAAATAATGAATGAAGGAATCAAAATTGAAAAAGAAAATTAATTTACAGCTTGGTTATCTCCTATTTAGTAAGTATTCCACTCAGGATTTAGGTTTAAGTTATTTTTATTAAATGCTTTATGTACAAATACAGATTACACACAGAACAAAGCACAGTTTATGAATTACACACTGCGGTGAATGCTTTCAGTCCAAACAATAAGGATGTGCTTTTCAATAATTCCCTAAATCCACAATAAAACCAGGAGTAACTTTTATTTCTGGTGTCAGTTACTTTTATGTTACGCTTTAAATTGGGAGGGGAACCTGGTTATTGAAATCTTTAGAGTTCACAATGTTGAACACATTTTTAAAGAAATGTTTAGATCATTAAGACATTTTACATTCAGGTCTTTGATTCTTGGAAGACTGGTTTCCATTTGTTGCTTTAAAGCAGTCTTTTATGTTAACTCTTTTTAAAGGAATGTGTTGTTTTCTGTTGGTTTGCTACCATGGTGATATTTCTGGAAAATTGAGCACCTGCTGAAATGACCAAGAAGGCTGCATGTCCGCATTACTCTTCAAGGAACACATTTTTCCTGAACATATTTGTTTTATGTAGACCAAACTAATGAGGGTGTGTCGGTCATGTCACTTAATCTTACAATAAACTGTCTCTACACTGGTCAAAAACATCTTAAATTGTGCTACAATCTGAAGTTTGATTACTTAATGCCAATGTAAATAACTACTGTGGTTATTTACATGACAATTGGAATATTGAAAGTGCATCTGTTTCTGTAAAAAGAAGTCAACTGTTGTAAATGATGGCAAAAGAAAGTACTATTTAGGACTGGATGATTAAAATAAAACATAACTTTGTGATAGTGATAAATCCTATGATTGACACACATGTTGTATGGACTTCCTTTTTCCATATCTTCTTCTTCAGTTAATGTATCTTATTTTGAATTGGGGTATTTTAATTTATAGAATATAGAATGTGAATAGAGGAGATAGGAAAAGTCTGAGATAACTAAAATGGACAGAGTCAGCCAAATTCTATAACAATCAATTAAATGTCAAATAACTCTACTGTGGTCTAACGAATTAATCCGTACGGGGCCAGACTGGTGGAAACAAAACACTCCACTGTTTATTACTCTCAAGTGGGGATGCCGTGGTGGAAACTGCAGCAGTACGCGCAGATCTTGTTTATTTATTTGTGGGAATGCATGTTTACTGTCCATTTAGAAGCTCTCACACTGACAGCAACACCATGAAGGCAGATGGCTACCTGCACTGCACGGATTTAATAGCTGACTTACAAAGTCTAGTTGAAAGTAATAAAGAAGTCGGAAACTGGAGGTGCAGCTGTGGGATTCGTTGCGAGGTAATTACAAAATGGATAATTAACGCATTGACGCATGCATGCATTGTGAAGCTATTTCTGTTATGTTTGCATTCTACAAAGGACTTTTGGAAATATTTGATGAAACACTTCATTTTCCTAACATGATTATCACTGAATATGTTCCCAATTAGTGTCATCAAATGATAATAAGAGAGAGCAACACCTTATGTTCCAGTGAAACAGGTGACACCTGTGCTTTTCTTCACATAACAATATGTTCTGTGTCATTATGAAAAATTTGTCTTTTGGTGGTGTTACTTTTACCCCCGTCCTCCTGGGCAACTGCTCGTTTTATTTGTGTCAATGTTGGAACAATTGACTGGCCAAAACGGGATTTTTCACAGCCTTTGTGAATTATTATTTTTTTGCTTATCAACTCCCGACTCTGAACATTTTAATGATGCTGATACACAAGCAGAACAAAAACGACGGCGTACTAAAACATAGGAGGTTGGAGTCACAGCTTTCGCAACGACTGCATGACTACGTCTAATTCAATGAAAAGAGTAGGGGGGGGTGGGGGGGGTTGGCTTGTAATAACTACAATGAAGCCAATAAATGGAAACCAATCTGTTACAATCACACACATACTCTGTACGAACAAGTCTGTCAAAATAGTGAAATTTCAGCAATAGGGACAATTGAGTTAAATTAAAGAGCTAATTTAAGAACAATCATCTTGTACATGGGTGAGTATGTTTAAAAGTAGAAAAAGAGACTTGATTGTGTATGATTTTATTCACACATCAGAATATTATCGATCATGTCTTTTTTTATTTTTATTTTAAAATTTGATGATAAGATAGGGAAAGTTACAACATTTCTTTCTTTTGCTTTTTTTTTTTTAAAAGTTGAAAAAAGGTTTCAAAAGAGAAGTGGAGGTCACAAATCTGGAGCACCTTCAGTATCTACCATAGGGATGTTTTCTGTAGCCTCCTCTTGTCAGGCGTAACGCTGGAGCTTTGAGAATGGGTCTGGGGCTTGTCCACTCTTCCTCTGTGGGAATATACCACATTCACTTCTGTGAAAACTAAATCTCTCAAAACATATGGTGCACATATGTAGTGAACTGTCGTCTCACAAAATATTTCAGCAAAGAAAATAAATTACTTCCTGGGAAATACAGGGTTCTCTCACAGCAGGAAATTACTGTCATAACCGTTTTTTTCCTCTACTGGACCAGTACTGAGATTAGAGTGTCAGAGACTCCTTCCTTAAAGGCAAATTACATAAAGTTGGCCACCTTTGCTATGGCACACTGCACTGTTTCCAAGTAAGAGTGTTTATGAAGCAGAAAATCAAATTATTGGCTGCTTGGTTTTACTTTGGTCTGACCTCAACACCCCAGTGCTTAAATTCATTGTGCTGAAAATAACTGAACCTGCAAAAAGACAACGGCAACCAGTGAACCACTGATTCCATTAGACCTTGCAAATGGAATTCAAATAATATTTTATACTCGTAGGGCATAAATTCAACATTAATAGATCTTTTATTTTCCCAACGGTATTTAGGCCTGTAGATCACGACAGGCAAATTCAGCTCTGTGTTAAAAAATTTGAAATATATGATAAAAGAAAAATGGGAAAATTATTTCATTGCTTGTCACCTTGCTGCTATTTCTATTCTATTTGTGGGGAAAAAATGACAGAAAAAGAAAATTGAAAAGGTGGCCACAGGTTGTCAAAGAGTGATGAAGTTACATTGGAAACAGCAAACTCAGACATCAGTGCACATACACGCACACACAATATTGGTAAATATTGGTTATCGGCAGTATTAATATTGGATATCAATATTGGCCCAAGTTTCTTTCAGATGTAGAAAAAACTAAACTGTTACAGCTAATTATCATTATCATACAAACTTTATGCTCACAAACAACACTTTGTGTTATCTCACTTTGACTGTTTACTCTCTGCTATGTCCTAAGCTTTCGGGGAGGGGTTGGATCTCCAAACGTTTTTTGGTTCCAGAAAAAATATGTTTTAACATTAAATACCAGTGAATAGATTCATTATAATTTATCTGTTGTTTTTTTTTTTTTTACTTTGAAGATTTATTTTAAGTTTTCTGACTCTAGCATAAGATAAAAATTAAAGTTTCTATTGCCGCAGTTTCAAATATGGTATTCTAGAAAAACATGTGTTTGGACTTGAAGAAGTTTAAAGATCATGTAGTTTGCAGAAGCATCCAAGAATGATTCATATACACACAACAAAGGTTAGCTCTATGGAAAAAAATAATAATAAAAAAATAAAATAGCCTTTAAGGGCAAAACACCCAAAAGGAAAAACAGCTTGTAGCCTCATGAACTTCTACTGGAACATCCACAGTTTCACAGTTTTAGTAAAATACAGCTTGCAGTGAGGTATCGTAGGAGGGGTGATGTGTAGAGGAGCGGCTCCCTGGGTCAGGAAGTGGGCTGCAGGGCTTGTTTCTTTGTCTCTTGGTTGGTTTTAATAACAGTGTAGCAGCTGTTCGGGCTGCAGAAACTGCCAGAATGTTTGTAGCATCCTACATTGTGCTTGTGAATATAGCTAATTACCTGAAATAATAGTGGAAAATTACAATAGCTTTTTTCCTCCTCGACAAGGAAAATGTGCTAATTCCAAATATATTGCCAGGCCTAGCATTAGACTTTTCCCAGAGCAAGTATTGAGAATAGCAGCTAAATTGTAGTTTAATTTTATGATTGGTCTTGATAAATCTAAGAATGTGCTACACAGTGGGCAAAGTTTACTCGATAAAGAACTCAATTAATCAGCCTCAAAGTGGCAGAATGATTTTTATTGATGGGCTAATCAAATAATCAACCCCCTTTTTCAGCTTTAACAATGGGTTTTGTTGAACTTTGTCCAAATTAAATACTCTACACTGGGTTCTTGTCAGAAGAAAAGGGTGAGAGTGACTATAGTTCATGAAACAAACTTCTTTTTAACAGCAAGTAAGCCACACTTACCATAACTGTTGTACGATTCATCACTGGTTCCGTGTCCATGTTCATAATATTCTGAAATGCTATAATAAACACACAAACAAAGAAAAACATTCAGGATAAAGGATGCACTTTAATGTACAAATAATGCACAAAAACAAAAATAAGAAACATATATATCTGCAAAGTATTCGTCCCACTTGAACTTTGATCTTCCAATTTGTAAATTTGCAACAGCAAATTTCAAGGCCTAATAGACATTTGGAATTATGAAGCATGCTAAATTTGTTCATTTGTTAGTTCGTTTAAGTCTCTATTGGCTTCATAAAGCTACACTAAATTGTTTTACAGTTTCTTTCTATGCCAAATTGCTTAAACTCTGACAGGTTGGGCAAGCGTCAGGAATTATTTTTGATTAGGGGTCTAGAATCGTGCCTTTAATGGTGGCATCATGTTGGATTTGTTCTTTTTGGAGACTTTTGTTCATCTTTCATTGGTTGAGACATGGTGTTTTCGGACAGTTATTCCCTCTGGCTTTGGATGCTGTGCAGCTGGAAAGAGTCTTGCTCCTATTCTTCTTATTTTTTGGCATGTGCTGTGATGCATAACCATGGCAACAAAGTTGTTGTTTTTCTTGGCTTTGTTTACAATTGGGAGCGGCTGATTGTCATCGCCAAAGCTCAAATAAGACCTCTTTTACGACCACAAGAGTTGAAACAGAGTATTCATGGATATAGATCAAGGCCAAAGAGAGAAAGAGGAAGTTCAAACCATCTCTTCCATTGATCATAATGAGCAAGGATCATGTTCGCCACTACAACACGTCTCTGCCTGGCTTTCCAACCATACGGCCATGAGGTGGATTAGCAGTGCTTTTCAACAATTGATGGTGTCGTTTAGTATGCTACTGTGAAATATAGTCTCTGTTGCTTCAATATTGAGCCTTTAGCATTCGTGACAGCCATGTAAGAGTTATAAAATAGTGTATACAGTCTGAGGCTTCTAAGAATTGGTTACCTGACCCACTGCTACTGAAGATTTGAATGTGTGCCCACAGCATCACAACTTGACAATGACTCTACGAAGATGCTCGGACAGTAAGAGTTACGACAACATTTTGGGAAAAAATAAAGTGCTTTTTAACTCCATTGAATTCCCAATTAGATTTAGGCCTGGATATTGACTTGACCACTCCAACACATGACTATGCCGTGTTATAAAATATTGCACCGTAGCTGTACATTTGCTACACATATTTGTTTTTAGTAACAAAAAGCAGTGTACCATTTCCATTTCATTTCACAGTGATGCTTCACTTTGTGCATTAACACATTTGTTAGCCACTGTACATAAACCAGCAATTCAGGAATCAACGGTTTATAAAATACTCACCCTGTATATCAATCCTCATCTAAACTGTCAGTATCACTCAACCGTGAACAAAGAGTTTTTCATTTGAAGTTGCCGACCTTTAAAAGCAGCTCATAAATGTGTAGCTTTTACTCTGTGGGACAGCTCATTAATCCAACAACAGACGGGCTCTGTAATGTTTAGAAACTTGCCTGAAGAGGTGTAAATAAAGCATTTGTTTAGGACTGTTCGCATCTGTGAGTTAATACACATTTTCCCCACTGAAAATCCTCCAGTGGGGATTTTCAACAACACCGTGGAGATTGTGGGATTTACTGATACATTTGAACTCCTCCCGTTGTTCAATGATGTGCTTTTAATGGCTATTGGAGGTGGATGCCACAGCTTCTGTGTATGTAATTTTACTACTTTTTGTCACGTCTTATTCAGGTACTAAAATATGTGCTGTTGGGCTTAGAGAATTATTCGAACAAAATTTAGAAAACTGCAGCCTTTAATTAGATTTTTTTTCTTCTTCGGTGAAACAATAGCCTCCAAATTGATACTTGAATTCAACACTTTTGTATCTTTACAAATGCTCCAGATATCTGTGCAGGGAGCTGTGTTTTGGCAGTTGTGCATGTCTGTAAAGATCACCTCTTTGTCTGAGTGCTGTAGTTTTCATCATAGGCTTCATAAGTCTCATCTTCATATTCTTCATCATATCCGTCTTCATAGCCCTGCAAGAAAAGAAGGAATAAATATTAAAGCTGACATGTTTTCTCATTCCTGTCCAGTGCAGCTATGTAAAGATGAATACACAATACAAGCCATACTGAGCTACATGGGAAAAGACATTCCTTTCAGTCTGTAATGCCCAACAGCAATTATTGATTAAAGCTGGTGAAAGAACATGCCTCACTTTTGGAGCCTAATGAGCAATTTCTGAGGCTCAAACCGGATCTTGAAAGTTTAGACCTACAGATATGGATTTTTGGTAAAGAAGTGTAAAAATCCTTAAAAATAAATCTTTCAGTGCTGTATCATATCGCATTATAATTTTTTTTTTTTTTTATCAACATGCAACTTTTAATTTGAGCATATTTCAGTAGAAGAGAAAGAAAAGAAGCCAAATTAACTAGAGAAGACTTTTTGAACAAACTCACTGGTGGCACAATTGTTTGTACTTGTAAAAATCAGCTTAAAGGCATCAATGTAACTGTAGCATTTCCTGTATTTCTGCTTTACTTTTGTAAGTTGACCAAAGTTATTGGGAACTTTTAATTGGTAATCCATGATGTGACTCTTTTCTTATATATATCCCCTAGGGATATATATCAGAAAAGAGAAAGAGGACATTTTCTTTCAGTACTTGCCACTAGAATAGATGAGGACCCATATTTATCTTGCAACCACATAGTAATACGACAGTAAGGGAAGTAATAAGGAAAATCTCCAAAGGTCACTGCTGGATAACTACAGCAAAGAGTTGCATATTTGGGTCAGCAACCCTCCATAACAACCATTAAAGGGTATCCACATAGCAACCATGTGTTTGGGATTACTCTTTGCACCATCATTACAAGTGAAAGGAAGCATTTGTTAATCCAAGTTTGCACTTTAAGTGGAGTTTTGTGCTTTGATTCAGTATATACCAAGCTTTAAAAATGGATGAATATGTGCTTAGAAAAAACTGACATACAGTGTAAAGTATGGTGGAGGATGTATGTGGCAGAGGTTTTTTCCTCTATTACAAATGTCATTGTTAGAATGTATGCAACCAAGGAAACTAAGAGAATAAATATGAGTCATTACTGAGCATTTTAGTTGGATGGTGAATCAAAACAAATTGGCAAAACAACGCAGAGAAGGTTCACAAAAAAATAACCTTCTTCAGTGACCATCACAGTCCCCAGACCTAAGGCTAATAGAAAACATGTTGGGAAGAGCTGAAGAGCAGACTGCACGAGAGAACCTTGGCCTCTGGATGATTTAGACAGATTGTGGAAAGAGGAATGGCCAAAGTTTCTTTTCTCTGTTTGGTTCAATCTTGTGAAATGTTAAAGGGAAAACTGTGCGATGCTCCGTTGGCCAAACGGGGTCGTAATACCAGCAGGGGTACAGAGATTTGATAAAACCAGGGTTGCTGATAAATTTTTTCTGTGTCCATAGTTACTTTAATACAGGTAAAAAGACCAGGCAGCAGCTGGTAATGTTCAGCAAGAAGAAAACTGACTATACCACACGGAGCACACAGCAACAACCGCCTATGCTCAGATGTTTAGCCAAATATCTTTACTTGAGATAACTACACAAGAAAAGAAACATGAACAGAAATACATTACTGTGTTACAAAAATCTGGAGTTTGAACTTCTGCTTGTGTATTATGCAACTGTTTTTTTTTTTAAATGTTTAATATATCATAATTAGTATAATTTTTAGCTCATAAGATCCTACTGATAGGATATTATGGTTTTATTGGTGGTGCTGAATCAAGTGTAATTTCAACCAGGAAAACGAGCCGAGATGCTTCACAATCCTATTTTTGGACTTCTCATTTTTCCAATTTCTATTGATTTACTCATAAAATCCACTTTAAAAGAGCTGTTTAGTTTTACTGTCCAGTGGATGAGTGTTAATAAACTCTGCAGAGATACTTTCAGTTACGACTATGTGCTGTGAGTAATTAAGTTTTACGAGGCAATGTGAGTGCCTAGTTGACGTCTTTCTCGTGGATTGGGTAGAAATTCTCCCACACAGGCACCACTAAATCTGGAAAATGCAATTTCACATCCTTTCCACACTTTGGTTCCTTTCAGATTTTCTATTAGTTAGAACTTCAAAGATGTCTTATAATATTTTCAAGTTGAAATGTCCCATCTCAGCAAAACAAAACAAACATTAGAAAAAAACAGACAAGATTTATGAAAGAAAAGTTGATGCAGTGATCTACATGTTGCGAGCCATATGTGTAAATATCTTAGAGGAGAAAACAACTGAGAAAGGGGTGAAACTATAATGAGCTGAAACTAATTTACCAATTACTGAATATTACTCAAACATCTGAGTAAACAGCTGCTCAGTTCAACAGAATTGTGATTTAAAAAAAAGAAAAAAAGAAACGTAAAGATACTCTTGTTGCGATCCTTGCGTGCTAATTTTCTTTGTGTTTTGATCATTTCTCTGTTGCTTATGTACGGCTGTTAGGTCTTGCCATACTTAAGTCATCCTTCTACATTTGAATTTATTTTTCTTAGATTATTGTAAAGCTTTTTCCTTGTTGGTTACTATGTCCTTTAAGTCTTGGTTCATCTCCGTCTGCATTATTAGTCCTCCTGCCTCAGTTTCCCTTTCTCCTTGCCACAGCTGCACCATATTTCCTCTGATTAGTTTATCCCTGCCACAGAGCTTCAGCTCCTGATTTTTCATTGTTCATTGCTGAATTCTTCTGTTCCATTCCTTTGCTTGTTTCCATGCTCGTGCTCCTTTTCCCATTTTCCTCATGCAAGATCTGTACATTTCTCTTTTTATTATTAAAACACACAAAACTGCATTATTTCGTGACTGCCTACATCTTTCCCTGCCTCAAACAAGCAAAACATTACAACTGTAAGATCTCCATCTGTGAGTCGTTATTAAACCGTCATGAAGGTTGGCCGGAGGTGGCTCATTACTGCATCCCAAAACCTTCAGAGTGTTGAGGAAAGACCCAGAGGATGAAGAGTGAGAAAACACAGCCAAACTTGGTTTTGAAAAGCATGATATACCAGCTGAAACTCTGAGAAAGATCCCAGGATGCACATGGTGGCAGATTCTGCAAATCGTACCTTTTCTCAGTAGACATTAACACTGAGTATTTGGATTTCTTTTTTTTTTCTTTTTTTTTTTTTCAATATTTAGCCCTTGCAGTTTTCTTCTGTCTTTGGTTTTTCCAATCTTAGTTGTTTCATATCCCGAAACAAATTTTAACATCAGATAAAGATAACCAAAGAAAAAAAAAAAGTAGTTTTCAAAATGATTCATTAATTAATCAAGGAACACAGCGGCCACACTCACATTTGCTAAAATACAACTTGATCATCCCATATTTTGGAAAGTTTGTGTCCTGTTACACCGGTTGCAAAGTTAACAAGTTTTCAGAAAAAGAACATTATACCAGCTGACAGATTGATGGTGGTGGCTGCTTTGCTGCTTCAGGCCTTTAAATTTACTTTTTAACAGAAAGTCTTTAAGAAAACACTCAGCCATCAATTTCTAACCTCAAGCACTCCGGCACCTCTGAATGTCTGACATTCAAATTAGTTTAAATCATCTGAAACATTTCCGTGTGATAAAAAGGGAACATTGTTCTTTCATAAAACTGACACGTAAATGTATTAATACGATTGTGTGTATGTTTCTCACTTTTTTCTGTTTCATTGCTGGTTTACAGTTGCAGTTTTAAATATTTAAATTTCAAAAGCCTGACCATGAACCTGCAAAATGCAGTAGCTGTTCCATTCTGAGATATGAATTATTTCATGCTACTGTATTTTGAATGAATACATTTTATGTAATGCCATTCATATGACTTGAATACAGAGCATATTTCAGAGAACATCTTGTAATGTTCCTCAAAATGGATTTTAATTCAGTGACAAGTGAACAGATGCCAGATGGCCCCAGGTGTCCTGAGACTGCAGTGGAACCACACAGCAGCCACAACTCCAGAAAGCTCACCTCAACATTTCCCAACCGTCTTCACCGAGAAGACTTTCAAACAAAAAAAATATTTAAATTTACAATTCCATGTATCAGTTAAAGCTGCTATTTAAATTACTTACCGCATTATGTGGTTTCCTGTTCATAGTTATCAGTTATGTCTTAAGAAGGAAAGTTGACTAGGAAGGTCAGCTCTGCTTTATTTAATTTATTTTCGAGCACCAATTCAAAACAAAAAATCAACTCAAGGTATTTTACAAGAAAACAGCTTCAAGTCACATTATGCAGCATGCAGTCAAATCAATCTAATTCATTAGTATAAGCTCAGATTTAAGTTCAGATACTACCAGTCCAATTTGACAACAATTATAATACGTTATATAGTCAAATTCAGTTAATTACACATTTCCAGCTATTTATCTAGTAAGCCATTTCAATAAAATCTGGTCAATGACTTTGTAGCAATTCCTTCTTCTGAGCAAGGGTGTGGTAAAAGTGGAAAGAAACAACTTCCTTTTAACAGGAGTCAGAGGTGAAGTCAATGACATAACTAATCGATAACCACAGAAAGACAGAAAAGTTTAGGTTAAGGTGCTCCAGCCTTTGCTTCCTCAGTAAGATAGGAAAATTTGTCTAAGTCGACATGACATCAGATTTCTCTGCATTGTCATTTACAGAAGCTATTATTGCGATTTTACACGGAAGACAGAAAAAATCTTGCAAGATCTTTGCAGATAAACCATTGTAAAAATATGAAGTTAAAAAAAGATTGTTTGGGTTGGATGTGGTTCAAAAACAGTCTTGACAGCTGGAGATGAGGTTTGGGTTGATCATGCTGTGAGTTTATCTTGCAGCAAAAGAGAGATAAAATTTACTACACAATTCTCAAACTGTGTGGCATTGATTTTTAAATATGAAAGTGCAAAGGGGATGTGTTTACAACAAAAAATAATGATCCTTAAGTCATAACAGAGTTCACAAGTCTGTGCTACACAAAGTGCAAAATGAAGGTTTTTTTTAATCACCTTTTCCTGTTCT